AGTAGTTATGGTTTGGGATATGTCTATTTAAGACCACAACTCTACCTGCTGAGTGTAATACTTCCTAAATGTGTATCTGTTGTTTTTCTCGTTTCCTGTCTTATCTCTAGTGCACTAATTATCTCTCTTATTCATTTTATCTATTTATAGTACATGTGCATTATATATGTATGTAGATACACGTAGTCAAGACTGTTAGATCTAGAGGGAGTTTAGGTGACTTTTTCTCCCAGCATATTTGGTCTAGATCTTCTGTAATCTCCCATTTTTAGCTTTTGGTATCTCATATTTAGTCTACATGTACTGTAGGTCTCCTTAAGTCTCCGGTTTTAGTTAAATTTGTCTCCCAAAATTTACTATCTTTCTATTAAATTTTTCCCTATCTCTTTCTCTCTCCCTCTCTTTCTCTCCCTCTCCCTCTCTGTCTCTCTCTTTCTCTCCCTCTCCCTCTCTCTCCCTTCCAGCTGGTTACGAGTCATATTAATCTACGTTATCTCTGGTGTTGGTGGCCTCCTAATTAGTGGTATATTTATACCAGAAACAGTTTCAGTAAGTGGTTACTACTTATTCCATTACCAGTTCCTCTATTACCCAATATGTTTAGGTCGGTGCATCTGGCTCCCTTTTTGGTCTTCTAGGTGTACAGCTGGTCGAACTCCTTCAAGGCTGGAAATGGGTCAAAAACCCTTGTGCCCAACTAACAAAGCTACTGATATTCGATATCATATTACTTGGTAGGTCAACGAGGAAAGACATCTGATACCATGAGAGACAGAGAGGGCTTGACACGCCTCCTTATTGTTAAGGAATTGAATGGGGAAATGCCTTTAGAATGCTTTTAATTGAGAGGGAAGTATTTGTTTGTGTTACAATGGCCTGTGTACATATGCATGTGTGCACACTTATTTTGCATGTGACCTTGAATACATACATGTGAAGGATGTTGTTAATAAAATTACATTTGCATGCCCACTCTGGCCTAGCATGCAATATACTTTGTTTGTTTCTCACAAATTCTTTCACTTTTTCCCGTTACATCTCTCTCTCCTCCCTCTCTCTTTCTCTCCCAACCACTTTCTATTTGTCATAACTCTTTCTCTTTCTCTCGCTTTCTTTTCTTATTTCCTTATCCAGTCCTAGGGACTCTCCCTTACATTGATAACTATGCCAATATCGGTGGCTTTCTATTTGGTACCGTATCAGCATTTGTCTTTGTACCATACATCTCGGTCGGGAAATGGGACAAAGTCAAAAAGTTCACAATAGTCACTTTGTTCTTCCCTGTATTGGTCTTCATGTTCCTGGTCACCATTTTCTTTTTTTATGTTCTCCCCGACCCTAATTTCTGCAGCTGGTGCAGTTACATTAATTGTATACCGTATACCGAAACCTTTTGTGAGGATTTTCTGAGTAATGTGCAGAGTTTTGTACCAACTATCCCTGGATAACTTAAGTATTTAAGACTTATATTTTATGCTTATATATTAGTTTTATGCTTATATATTAGTTTTATGTTTGAACACAGGTTATATATACTATATATACTGATATTATTGTGTGATTTTACCATTTGATCCAAGTGTTTTGTTGTGTGCTCTCCCACTATGTGTGTCTATATATGTGGATCCATATATCCCAGTTAAATATGATAATTTAATTCTGTCAGTCTTGATGTGTATAAGTCTGGCTAGTTTTGTCTAGCAGTTAGTCTATGTACTAGTGGACAGTGTAAACTGCATAATTGTGGTGTGTGGTGTTATTGGAGGTCACCTAGAGTGACAATCTATGACATTCATGACCTTGTACTTGTACGGGGTCACATGCTTACCACTTCCTCTTTGTGTTTCTATAAAATGAGAGAGATCGGCAGTTCAGTTATCTATCATAAAATTCATACCAACTCATTCCAGTGTTAACAGCTAGCCCAGTCCAGCTCAAGATGCTCAGATTAGCCAAATCCCTTGAAGGTTTTCTCAAGCTCTCACAGTCAAGCAGTGGTCCACACTTCACTGTCTGTGAGCTAGCTTCCAACATTAGCTTCCCATGCTCATCCAGGAGCTATTATTATCAATACTCCAATGATCTTGGGACTGATGTCAAGAGCAAAATTTCGATTGTTCATAGCTCCTCTCTGCCTGAGAACAGCTTTAGCAGTCAAGGCTCAGTCTGGTCTCCTTTTAGTAAGAGACTGCCTAAAGAGAAATGCGTTGTATTGCAGCAGGAAGACAGAGGGAAAGAGTCTTCTTTTCTCCTGGCAGAATGTCAAGATGAGACAGAAGCTTTGGAGGCCATGTCTGCCATCGATGAGACATTGAGCCCTTTTCTAAATGAGGGGACCATCTACTTTTCAAAGAAGCTGCTAGAAAGCCTGATACTACCAGAGCCTCTCCCAGTTGATGAACTGAGCACTCACCTGGTAGAATTGATGGAGCATCAATCTGGTGCTTATTCGCATTGGTTTAAAGTAGCTCAGGCACTCAGCAAGATTCCAGCTCATGGTACTACTAGCTTCAATAAGAGTTTTGTAACACCTGCTGATCTTTGTATGGCTACTTCTGCTGGAAGCCAGCCAGATGAGTGCAACATCAGAGATCATGGCACACCTGCTCAGGACATGAAAGTCCCCCTGTTTCTGAAAATGATGTCATACGATGCAGAGTCGATCTCTGAAGAGTTTTTCACACCCTGTGCTCAGACTGGTGATGTCTTTACATTCAGTGATACTCCTAACGTGAGCCAAAACCCACTCCTATACTCCATTAGTAAAGGATATGCTAAAAGCTCCCTCCACTTACTATTAGGAGGAGTGGATCCTAATGAAGCTGATATGGATGGTAATACTCCTCTTCACCTTGCAGCTGCTGCAGGGAATCTATTATTAGTGCAGCTCCTCATCACCTTTGAGGCCGACCCAAGACTCACTAACAGAAATGGAGAAACTCCATTAAACGTGGCATTAGATGCCGGAGCGTACGATTGTGCCCTCATCATTGAAGAAGTAGCAAGATTACTGAATGCAAGGGATGACTTGATGGCAAGCAATGGAACAACGAAATCGTCTCATTCGAACGATAGCTCTCCATTTCTCTTGACTCTTGATGGAGGTGGAGTGAGGGCTATCATGGAAATACAAGTCCTCCTTGCAATCGAGAAACAAATGAAGAAGATATCTCCACTTCACTCATCTTCAATCCTTAAATCGTTTGACTATATAGCCGGGACCAGTGGTGGGGCCTACGTGATGTTCATCACAGTCTTCGGAAAGAAGAGTTTGACAGATGCTCGATCGCTAGTGTTCAGTGCTCTCAATCAAATCTCTGAAGGAACATCACCAGAAACAGACCGTGCAGCAGCATTGGAGGGTATGCTTCAAGACATGCTTGGAACAGAGACACTGATGTCCGATGTGCAGTCTCCTCGAGTAATGGCTACAGCTACACTAGCTGATAGATCTCCTTGCAAGCTTCACCTGCTCACTAACTATGGTTCATCAAGAGATGGGCAACTAGGACCAGACAAGAGAAAAGCATGGGAAGCTGCACGGATCACTTCAGCCGTACCCATATACTTTGGATCGTTCGAAGGAAAGTTCCTAGATGGCGGAGTCATGTGCAACAACCCAACATTAGACGCTATAACTGAAGTCATTGATCAAGAGAAAACAGAGGGCACTAATAGAAGACCTGGTCTGGTCCTTTCTCTTGGTTCTGGAGTCTCTGAAGCTAGAGCTATCTCTAATGTTGATGTACATCTTCCCTCTTGGTCTCTCTCCTCTCTACTGAAGCTCCCTCAGTCACTAAGGGGGCTTAAGAATCTTGGTGAGATAGTCCTTAATCAGCTAACGAGCTCTGATGGTCAAGATGTTGAGAGATGTCGATCTTTGTGTCACCAAATGGGCACACAGTACT